CCACTACTACTACTACTACTACTACTACTACTACTGCTACTACCTCCACTACTGCTACTATGCTACAACTACTTCAATACTACTACCACTGATGCTACAACTTCTAATATTACTCCTATGACCACCACCACCACTACTACTACTACTACTACTTCTATCACTACTACTACCTTTACTACTTCTTCTACAACAATTGCCATGGAGCAGTTACCACAAAGGTCATTAGATTTTCAATTTTCTGTTTTTCAATATCAGTATGTCACTTCGTATAATTTTTTGTAACTTTGTATAATTTTTTTTATCAGATATTAAGTACCCTGATTATACAAAATGTCCTTTTATGCGCGGCTTAACATTTTACCAGGTGTAAAAATGAGCAGGAACATTAAAATACTACTGAGGCTGCCCAGCATCAACTCAGTCCTTGCGGCCATCTGGACCAACGGTAAGGTGAAGGGTGAAATTGGGTTTAACGTCGCGTCCAAGATTATTGCACTTATATAGCGACGTGCATGCACGTGTATGTGTGTGTGTGGCTGCTTGTACTAGTCCGGACTGATGCCGATTTATAGTGCTAGCTCACTGAGATACCATGCCGCAGTTTAACATGAATACCCCACTCAGACACAGTATACTGACTCCGAGCCGACCAGTCCTTGTTTAAGCCCCTTAATGCCGAGCGCCAGACAGGGTAACAACAAGTACAATCTTTTAACGTATTTTTGTATGACGCGGCCCGGGATCGAACCCTGGACCTTCCGCTCTCCGGGCGGACGCTCTACCACAAGACCACGGAGGCGGTCTCTGGACCAACATTGTGCTCTTGTTCTAACCTTTCAGCAGGCATCAGTGATGTCTTGCACATGTTGGACACGGGAGGCCCAGTCACCTAAGGCGCCGCAATTCTGAATTTAGATTTGCTTCACTTGGGCACGCCAGAAACTTATGGTTGTGATTTTGAATCCTGGCTCGCCCCCATTATGTTTCCAGGTTTATCAGCACCATACCAGTGCTCGTGGGTTTCAACAAAAACGTCTAAGACCTGCAATACGTTAGGCTTTCCTGCCACATTAAACTGACGCGCCGTGATATAACCGAAATACTGTTAACATTTAGAAACGATTGTTGATATATTTGACATCAACTCTCGAGTGAGATTTCCTACATATACAAATGATCCATTATGTCAGAATACCTTCTTTAAGAAATAGGGATAAAGTGTTCACTTCAATGTATGACAGAGACAACACATTTTATACACTAATTCACTGTATCATTATTTTGATATACGCTATCCCCATGTGTCACGAAAACAGCCCAAGTATGTCATGCTTATCGTTAGCCATGAATTGTTAATTAACATTGATCGTGTTTGTGTTAATAAGTATTCCAGTATGACACAGGTTGTGGGGCTGCATATACTCGTCCGGCCTTTTTCGCGATTTTGAGGTGCTATCCCACTTATTACGAGGACGCAAACCGCAGTTTAACGTGGATATCCCACACAGACATAGTATGCTGACTTGGAACCGACCAGTCCTAGTTTTATCACTTTAATGCCAATCACCAAAATGGGTAATAAAACAAAAAGTATTTTTTGACGTTGTTAACACCAAGGGATCTATCCACAACACCATGGAGGCGGTTGAAGTGGAAAAAGAAGCAATTAAGATTTACAAATGTGAACTTCACAATGCTATACAGCTAAACATCATTCAAATCCGTGATATCAGCCACATGAGATGATACTTGTGCCTGGATTAATCTGACGAGGGAAGACATCTTTGTGATTCTTCATCTCCCCGTACTCTCAGTGATTGGCCACATTGGTGACACGCTCGTCTCCCAGGATGAGGTTCCCCTGACAAATAACGGTACTTGAGGCCAGATGACGAGAGGGACATAATGTGGGCAGGTCGGTATCAATAGCAGGCAGCGAATCATGAAACAGCTAGTCGAGAAGCCCTTTAACCTGTTATTGCCGTGTAGCCGCTTCTGTTTATGGAGTTGTTAGTGGCAGCCTGGGCCAGTTAAGTATCTAGCATTACAATCAAGTGCAAATCGAAATTCTTTCAGATAGAAGAAACCAGATTATGGACTAACTCATTATGTGGTTTGTATTCCATGAAATGCCATGGATGAATCCTCATGGCGTTATCGATACGACACGTACATAAGGTGATCATGCATGAACATAGATTCAGCAGCCTTAATGAGTGACTCAGCATCCGATACAAATAGCTTACCTGACGGATGCCCCAGTGGTGGTTATACGGTCCTCAGAACTCTACTGTTTATCAAAGCGACTGTGACTCAAGTCTTGTTGAATCGCATGTGGTCATAGCATGGCGACATGGGGCGTTGCTCATAAAATCGACCACTGGTTTTGTTTGCCCACACTCGAAACTGTACAGCCACGTTGCTAAAGTTTGACTATTGCGGACGACGTCGTATTTAAACCCAAATCATTATGAATATTGATGTCGCAGAAAGAATCAAAACACCTTCATGCCAGTTCCATCGATATTTCTGGGACAACTACTGTTTACGGTTCATTCAGTGATTCGGTTAAAGACATTGTACTAGAAACAGAGCTCTTGCAGGGGTGCACATTAAACTGGCGAATACAATTCCTTTAAAAGGACCTTTCTTCAATGATAAATCGAATCAAAACGAAAACACCCACATTTAAATAACATTTGAGATAATAAAATATTACTTTGTCCCTAATGGAGCTAATGCATGTATGTATCGTTAAATAATTTATCACCAACAAAATGTTCATAGGAAGGCGTCTACCAGCGTTTCAGTGCCTAAGAAACGAACACATCAATTCTGCTTCATTTAAGTGCAGACAATTTTGCTGTTATGAATGACTAGCATCGCGAAATCGATCCTTTGTTCTTGGCAACAGACAAAATATAGCGAGATTGTAAATAACTGACGATCTGTCTTACGATCAGATCATGCATATCAGTTGGCAATTGTCAGGGGTTTGTTGTCTTCCTGAATATTCCTTGGGGGATTCAACTGCGTTCTGTTGGCCTTTGTTTGATCATTTACAGTAATAAGAATATCTTCAAACATGTGTAGAGGATTCAGTGTCTGCTAAGATGCCAAACTAAAAATATGATTTAATTTATATAAGAATTTCTGTATTTGTTTCACTTACATTTTCTCGTATTATTCCTTCACACAATGTTATGGGCACGAGTGGCTCAGTCGTCTGAAGCGCCGCGATTCGCTGTGCAGAGTTGTGCCCCTTGGGCACGCCAAAAACATATGATTGTGGATTCAAATCTCGGTTCGCCCCGATTATGTTTCAAGGTTTGTCAAAACCATACCCGTGCTCGTTGGTTTCACCTAAGTGGGAAACGTCTCAGATTTGCATCACTTGGATTTTCTTCCCATATTAAGCTCACACGCCGTCCTCCCACATTAAACTGACACGCCGTGATATAACTGGAATACTTCTTTACATCCAACTCACTCACTCGCTTACACAGTGTTTACTCGTGCATCTACACAGTGTCACTTCAATTAAGCAGAGTCATGTCAGATCAGTTGTATCGCTTTGCAACTGTCATCTGCTGTCTAAAATCGTTGCTGCAAAGGCCTTAGACCCACGAACAACTGATAACAAGATTAAGTTAAACGTTGGGTACTGCAGGAAGTACTAAGATCAGCATACCTTCATACAGATACTTTGTAGGTGTTACTATTCAAGTACTTACATGTAGCTATACAGTTTTGTTTCTACCAGGCAGCGTTATTAAATCGTACATATCCTCTGATTGCGAGCATCAGTCCACTCTGTTGAATTATGTGCATTGTTTCTCTATCTGCAGCTGAGTGCCATGGGATTCTCACGTTCGTTATTACCTTTGTGTCTGGCACTTTGCTTAAGAAGCTGCCCCTGTCTCTTAATAGGAATGACAGAAATTGAAACAAAATCGCTTGTTTTATTTCCTTAAACATGCTGGAGGTTGGAATTGATCATTTTAAGGTCGAACAAACACTGTAACTCGAATTTAGTTTGAAATCGGAATGATTAAGAGATGCTATTACAATTTGCCTCACCTGTGTTTCAATAGGAATGACAGAAATTGAAACAAAATCTCTTTTTATATTTCCTTAAAAATGCTGGAGGTTCGAATTGATCATTTTCAGGTCGAACAAACACTGTAACTCGAATTAAGTTTGAAATCGGAATGATTAAGATATGCTATTACAATTTGCCTCACCTGTGTTTTAATAGGAATGACAGAAATTGAAACAAAATCGCTTTTTTTATTTTCTTAAAAATGCTGGAGGTTGGAATTGATCATTTTAAGGTCGAACAAACACTGTAACTCGAATTAAGTTTGAAATCGGAATGATTAAGATATGCTATTACAATTTGCCTCACCTGTGTTTTAATAGGAATGACAAAAATTGAAACAAAATCGCTTTTTTTATTTCCTTAAAAAATGCTGGAGGTTGGAATTGATCATTTTAAGGTCGAACAAACAATGTAACTCGAATTTAGTTTGAAATCGAAGGATTAAGATATGCTATTACAATTTACCGCACTTTATAATACAATTTGCCGCAGTTTGTTAAAATTTGGCGCCCCTGTCTATCAAAAGAAATGATAGAATTTGAAGCAAAATCGCTTTTTTGATTTCCTTAAACATGCTGGAGGTTGGAATGGATTTTGTTAAGGTCGAACAAACACTGTTGTAATACCTTCGTATTAATGACACAACTCGAGCTCAATACGAGCCAACTTTACTTCAGCCATGTGACGGTCAGTACAAAAACTTGGTCCGGCAATCTCAAATCAACAATACATACAAAACTCGAATCTGTAAACGAAACAGGATCCATTACATCCCCTTTTTTCCATAAGCTAAAAATAAAGATAACACTACTTTAAGTGTCACACTGTTAAATGAAATGTCTGTCTCTCTGAGCACAATAACTTTATCACAAATAAAACCATTATTGCAATTTTAGAGTCACTCAGAGAATCGCTGTGGTCTGAAGATTGGTCGACCACTGGATGAGAATGCAATGGGGTTCCTCGATGGAACAAGGCTTTGCGACACATTCATGTCTGGAGGAGTGTCTGGAGACTGTACAGGAACATTCTCTGGAGTAGCATTAGTTGCTCCTTGAGTGGTTCCATCAGGACTTTGGATAATACTGCAGTCGTCAGGAAGATTTTCCTTTGTTGGAATCAGGTCATGCTTGTTCCGTCGGTACTCTGAGCCACCTTGAGTTCTTACTACCAAAGAACGTGGAGTGCTTGCATATTTCACAACTTTAGCTTGGATCCAGTCCTTCCCTTGCCTCAATCGCACACTGTCATTCACCTGTATTGGTGGTCTTGGATGAGCTCTCTGATCATAGTAGACTTTCTGGGTCTCTCGTGACTGTGAGATTGCTTGTTTCACTACATCACAGTCAACAACTTCAGGTCTGAGCATTGCATATTGCACCGGTAAGTCACTTCTCAACCTGCGTCCCATCAGCAGTTGCGCTGGTGAGGCGAGTCCATTTATAGGCGTATTCCTATAAGCCAACATTGCCAGATATGGATCTGCATGACTCTGCCTAGACTTTCGTAACAGCTGTTTGAGAGTTTGGACTGTGTTTTCAGCAAGACCATTGGCCTGTGGATACAGTGGTGACGACGTTATGTGTTCAAACTTCCACTTGTCACTAAAGGTCTTAAACTCAGCGCAGGCATACTGTGGCCCATTATCAGAGACAACCCGCATAGGCACGCCATGTCGTCCAAAGATGGACTTGATATGTGTGATGACTGTAGAAGCCTTTGTGTTGGTTAACAGGGCTACTTCAAAATACCTGCTGTAGTAGTCTACTACTACTAAATACTCTCTTCCATCCATATGGAATAGATCTGTGGCTACTACTTGCCACGGGAGGGTAGGTACTTCACTGGAGATCATGGGTTCCTTACAAGGACTTTTCCTGTGCTCTTGACATACTGCACACTGCTCTACTGTTCTCTCAATATCTTTGTTCATACACGGCCAAAAGAGAATCTCTCTAGCTCTTTCTTTCGACTTGGTCATTCCTTGATGACCACTATGAATGCATTGAAGCATTTCAACTCTGAGTTTCGAGGGAATGACTACTTTACTCCCCTTGTACACAATTCCATCAACACAGGAGATTTCCTCTCGAAATGTCCAAAAGTCCTTGACTTGAGCGGAACAGTCTACGTGTGTAGCTGCCCAACCATTTTGCACTGCACTAATCACTGCCTGCAGCTGTTCATCTTCAACTGTAGCGGATTTTATCTCAGACATCTTCCTATCTGAAATAGGTAAGCCTGTTGTCACCATATGAACATATGCGCTAACTTCCTCATCAAAAGAGTTCAAGTCTGTCAGCTTTTCTTCTATAAAGTGTCTGGACAGCATATCAGCCACAGGAATGTCTTTTCCTGGAATGTACTTGACAACAACATCATACCTTTGCAGTCTGATTCTCATCCTCTGGAGACGTAGTGGTACAGCGTGGAGTGGCTTCATGAAAATGCTCTCCAATGGTTTGTGATCTGACATGACAACAAATCTTCTACCCATCAAATAATGATGAAATTTCTCACAGCCAAATACTATGGCCATCATCTCCTTTTCTATCTGTGCATAATTGCGCTGACATGACGTCATAGACTTGGATGCAAATGCTACAGGGTGTCCTTCCTGTAACAGAACAGCCCCAACACCATTCTGGGATGCATCCACTTGCAGAACGACTTCTTTCTGGGAATCAAAATATCGCAGAACAGGACCTGGTGATCTTGTGATGAGATCCTTGATCTCTTGGAACGTTTGTTCATGGTTTGGAGTCCAATTCCACTGACTGTCTTGCTTAATCAGATCACGCAGGATGTGAGTTCTCTCAGAAAGACAAGGGGAATACTGTGCAAGATAAGTGAACATTCCCAGATAACCTTCAAGCTCCTTCTTGCTTGTTGGAGTTGTCATTGTGCGTACTGCTTCAACTTTATCCGGGTCTGGTTTCATGCCATCAGAGGTAAGTATTTCACCAAAGAATTTCACTTCCTGCGAACACAGTTGAGTCTTGTCTGCATTTAACTTGATACCACTTCCTTTTGCAGTCTCAAGAGTGTCCATGAGGTTCTTGTTATGTTCCTCAATGATTCTGCCACTGATGAGAATATCATCTACTATTGGGTGAGTATAGTTCAGTTTTTCGAAGATTTTGTCCATGCGCTTTTGGAACACTTCACTGGCACTTTTAATTCCAAATGGAAGACGTAAGAACCTATATCTACCACATGGAGTGTTGAACGTGGTTAACATGGAGGAGTCGTGGTCAAGTTGTACTTGCCAGTATGACGATTTCGCATCTAGAACTGTGAAGTACTTGTGGTCAGCAATCTTTGAGGTCACATCTTGTATCGTGGACATTCTGTAGTGCTCGCGTTGTATCGCCTTATTTAGGTCAGCTGGGTCAAGGCACAACCTAATTTCACCACTGGCTTTAGGAACGACCACCATAGAATTTACCCACTCAGTGGGCTCTTCCACTTTCATGATCACTCCCAAGTCCTCCATTCGCTGAAGTTCCACTTGAACTTTCTCATGTAGGGCAATCGGAACTTTCCGTGGAGCATGTACTACTGGTTTCACTTCTGGGTCAAGCTGAATACTGTACTTGTCTTCAAGACATCCTAAGCCTTGGAAGATATCTGGAAACATCCTGAGTATTTTCTCAGAACTACTTGCATCAGTAATCAGGCGTTCAATGTTCAACAGGACTTTTATCAGGTTTAAGTCCTCACAGGCTCGAAGTCCTAACACTGAGGGTGCCTCTTCTTGCACTATATAGAACTTTAGGCGTACAGACACATTTCTGTAACTACAATCCAGGTAAGTCATACCTGCAATTTTCAACCACTTCTGTCCATAGCCGTAAAGCCTTGTGTCCGGTTTCTCAAGAGGACCTGCAAACTTGCAGACTTTTAGAAAGTCTCTCTCTGACATAGCATTAACTTGTGCTCCTGTATCTATCTTCATAGCTACTATGAACTTCTTGTTCACTAGGATATCTGCATATTGTTCTGAATAGTCTTCACCACTTTCACCCTTTCTATCCTCTATTGTCCCAATAAAGAGTTCATCAGTCTCTAAACTGTGGACTTTTGGGTTGCTTTGACCTTGTTTCCATCTTCCGGACCCTCTTGAGTTCTGTGTTTTAGGTGGATTCCTCGCTACTGTTCTGGACCTACAAACTGATGCATAATGTCCAAATTTGTGACACTTCAAACACTCAGCACTTCTTGCAGGACACATGTCATTCTTTGAATGTGATTTTCCACATCTTTCACACATATCACTACTTGTTTTCACACTAGCCTGTGCACTTGCTGATCGCTTCTGACTACTGTCCCCTAACTTTCTCTGATGAGTATAACCACCACTTCTCTTCTGAATGCTACAAACTGCCTCTGACTGAATTTCTTTCATCTGTTTTTTACTCACTTCAAAACTTCTCGCTATTTCAAGGGCCTTATTTACTGTCAAATCTGCTTCTTGTAACAGTCTTTCTTGTACTTGTTTGTTACTCGTTCCACAAACTATTCTATCACGAACCATGTCATCAGCAATCGCACCAAAGGCACAATCTTTCGCGAGGGTTTTGATTTCTGTCACATATGAATCCACTGTCTCATTTTGGCCCTGAACACGTGTATTAAAGCGAAAGCGCATGATTGTCACATTCGTTTTAGGAATACAATAGTTTTCAAATTTTGTGTACAGAGGTTGCAATTTATCCTTTTCTTCATTTGTCAATGTCCAAGTATTAAATACATCTCGGCCCTCCTGACCAATGTACAACAGAAAATAGCAACACTTTTCCTTTTCATCTTTCGCCGCGAGTGGTCCACTGAACAGCAATTCTATCGTCTGTTTCCACTTTTTCCAACTTTCTGCCACATTAGCGGCATCGAAATTCATGGGCGGAATGTCAATTCGACCTGCCATGACTTCTGACACCATGTAATACCTTCGTATTAATGACACAACTCGAGCTCAATACGAGCCAACTTTACTTCAGCCATGTGACGGTCAGTACAAAAACTTGGTCCGGCAATCTCAAATCAACAATACATACAAAACTCGAATCTGTAAACGAAACAGGATCCATTACAACTGTAACTTGAATTCTGTTTGAATCGGAATGATTAAGATATGCTATAACAATTTGCCTCCACTGTGTTTCAATAGGAATGACAGAAATTGAAACAAAATCGCTTTTCTAATTTGCTTAAACATGCTGGAGGTTGGAATTGATCATTTTAAGGCCGAACAAACACCGTAACTCGAATTTAGTTTGAAATCGGAAGGATTAAGATATGCTAATACAATTTACCGCACTTGGTATTTCAATTTTGCCGCAGTTTGTTTCAACATTCGAACAAACACTGGAACTTGAATTCTGTTCTGAGTAAATCTAGATATCAAGAATTTAATGTACATTAGTATTGATCAATGAGTCGTTTCAAAGTCCGGATTTTGATTTCCAAACAGCTTAGTCGAACATTTTAAACTTCATGCATGGTTCTTTGTATATTTGTAAATGAATAATCTTTTATTATAATTCGCGCAGTATTAATTACAATTTACCGCAGTGAAGTTATTACAATTTACCGCAGTGTTATTACATTTTACCCCAGTATATTACAATTTACCGCGTTATTACAATTTACGTCGTAACACATCTCTCAGCTATCATCAGACTTACTGCGCTTCATCACCCCCCAACCCCCCCTCCTCCTCCCCCCAACACACACACACACACACACACACACACACACACACACACACACACACAGCTTGTTGTCAGTAAATATATCAATTGATGCACAACAATGCATTTATGCATGCAACTATGTGCTAGTAAGCTTCCATATTGATAAATAGAGAGAGAGCGAGATATGAGGGCATGCATAGTCGTATGCATTACCTGGTTTCGTGAAAACGTGTTTCACTTGCCATTGTGAGTACAACTTTATAAAGCCATCTGCGAACACTCGCGAGTCCGTCACCGCCAGTTAAATAGTTCTAACATAAAAAAATACCATTAATAAGAAAAAAGCACGTAACTATCTGACGTGTTCGAGACATGGAAATGCAAATTAATTCTCCACGATGACGTCTGTTGATTCATTTGATTTCGTCCATCCCATTTTTTCAGGTGCCTGTCTGATCGAGAGTCATTACTCTTTACGTTGACGTTTTGTATTCCACTTGCCTCGTGAAGAACTTTCCTGCTCCTGGTAATCGCAACTAGTCGGGCACACTGATAACATTAAAGAGCCGGCAATATATGGAGATAACTTGTTATGGTGGGTGAGTTGGTTGGGTTCCTTGTTCCTGGTGTTAGTTATACAGTATTTCAGTTATATCACGGCGGGCCGTGAAGATCCGGGGTTGAAAAGGTCTTCAGCAACCCATGGACACTATGCTTGTCGTAAGAGGCGACTAACGGGATTGGGTGGTCAGGCTCGCTGACTTGGTTGACGAATGTCAGTGTATCCCAATTGCGTGGATCGATGCTCCTGATATCAATCACTGGATTGTGTGGTTCAGACTCGATTATTTACAGACTGCTGTTATAGAGCTGGATCGGCGTTTGTTAAATGTGTGATATATACTCACCGACAAAAGAAACGCGAGTACATGTTGGTTAATATATGAATAATTACTCATATTCAAGTGATATTAGATTGGTTCGATGAACAAACGAACATACTGTTGTCACCGACGCCCTTGAACTTGTAGCGGCCATAAAATCTCCAAGCCCCATGATGGCATTCGAATCACGGACCTTCTGATCCGAGGTCGGACGCCTTGTCCACATGACCAGAGAGATTAACCCCGTTAGCAAGCTGACAAGGTAAGGGTGGCATCTGTGGGATGACTCCACGCCCTGCTACAAACGCATTAAATGTAACGTTATAGATCCATGACTCGAGATGCACCATTTGTCTCGTGCAGGATTAGCGTCTAAAATTTGGAAATCACGTGCAACATATCCTGATAAGACACCCCATTTAAACACTTGACTGATTGTTTGTTTTCTCACTGAGTGCTACACATTGGAAACATCTCTTCTTAACGTACATACTTATATGTGTCTATGGTTCGCGTTTTGGCGCTGACTCGTATATCATTCGATACTGAGTTTGGGAGCATGTTGGTTAAAACCTCAGCGAATCCCTTCCTCATAAGGGCACATGAATGAAACATAAAATCGAACTCACACGTAAGATGTTCACCGTGCACAGCAAAACTGTCAAATAAAGCGTCTCTGCTAACATCAACTGACAATATTTAAAGTCTCCAAGCAACAATTATCTCCTTCGCCGAGTTTCGAATTATTACTTTTCTTACATAGAAATGGCGACGGTTATGAATTGTCCATGTCATTGACTTCACGCGGTGACAAACGAGGTTTCACTGATCATGACGTGAAACAAAAACATCGTCACTTTCTTCGTAAAATGTTACACAATGTTTCGAATTACTTGTAACAGAAGCGACAGGTTTCACATTTGTCAGAACAGAAAGTCATATCGTAGCTGACAAATTAACTCTGACCATTTGAAAAAACATCGATGCCAACTTATCGCATTAACAACAACTGGGAAGTTCGATTCAATCAAATCTTTGGCAATGACATGGCATTCTTTTTCAGATGGTTAAACGCATTATATACCACGAGATGAGATGTCCTTAGAGACCTACTGCAGGTATCGAATTGTGCGTTTGTTTGTTGTTTAAGGCAGCACTCAGCAATATTCCAGCTACATGATCTTATGATCTGGGATCCGCACGTTCGTGTTATACATTCAATATGTAATTATTATTTGGTTTTCCCTAGAGCTCCCTAGAGTCGCCTAGAGCTCCCTAGAGTTCCCTAGAGATCTCTAGAGCTCCCTAGAGCTCCGTAGTGCTCCCTAGAGCTCCCTAGAGCTCCCTCGAATTCCCTTGAGATCCCTAGAGCTCCCTAGAGCTCCCGAGAGGTCCCTAGAGCTCCCTAGAGCTCCTTAGAGCTCCCTATAGTTCCCTAGAGATCCCTAGAGTTCCCTAGAGCTCCATAGAGCCCCCTAGAGCTCCCTAGAGATCCCTAGAGTTCCCTAGAGATCCCTAGAGATCCCTAGAGCTCCCTAGAGCTCCCTAGAGTTCCCTAGAGCTCCCTAGAGCCCCTAGAGTTTCCTATAGATCCCTTGAGCTCCCTAGAGCTCCCTAGAGTCCCCTAGAACTTCACAATGTCACAACGTCCTCCAAATACATATACAAAATAGCACACCTCCAGATAGCACTGAATGCTTGTGTTACGTGTCTAATTTTCAAAAACAAACATTGCAGGACATGTACTTCATATATGCATGCGAGATAGGTTTGAATCAACAATCTACTATTCATCAACGAAGTCAGCGAGCCTGACCACGCGATCTCGTTAGTCGCCTCTTACGACAAGCACAGTCGCCTTTTACGACAAGCATGTGATAGAATGTAGAACAGGTAAGGTGCAATTGGGTTTACCATCATCTTCAAGACTATCGTTTGTGCATGAACGTGTGCGTCTGGCTAATTGTACTAACCTGGACATTTGCGGGTTTTTATAGCGCTGGCCCACTGAGATACCATGCTGCATTTAAACTCGGATACCTCACTAAAACACAACATCCTGTCTCCGAGCCGACGAGTCGTTGTTTTATTCCTGCAATGCTGAACGCCAGACAGAATAAAATAAGTAGCATCTTTTGATATAATTGTTTGATAAAACTGACGTTCATAAGTGTATAAAACGACACAATTTGACGTTCATACGTTTTTCACGAGACTGAATTCTTGAAATGACGTAAACACTGACGGACTACTTCCACATTCCTGGGGAAACCCAGGGGATTCCCCGGCACAAGCACACAGAAGCGTTCTTAAATTTCTGATCTTTTAGACTCTTTAATCTTGTACTCGGCGATTTGGCATACATTGAGAAACGACTGTGAGTTTGGCCACATGATCGTTCACAAATATCCTCGCTACGACCACCACAGGTTCATTACCAACTTCCGAAACCTCTCCCGTCACGTTTGTCGTGTCGGCCATTTTGACATCTTGTACTTCGTGTAAATGTATTACGACGCGCTGTCATTGTGACTGACTTACTGAGGTCACAGAACTTTCTCATCTAATGGTGGTAATTTTTAAATATATTTGTTGTAAACAAACTACAAAAGATGTCACTGTGAGCATACTGATGTCGGAACGACATCATTCCGCGATGCAGGTGGTTGGGTGGTTGTCAGTGGAAGTCACACATACTAAATGAAATTGTATATAGATCTACATCCTTCGAAATGAAAAATAGTGATATAAAAAAGTGTAAGAATTGACCTTCACTTTATGTGAGTTCATTGCAGCAACTTCCATACAGTTTACTACTCTATGAAGGT